TCTTTCAGGAGGAGATCTGTGGATTCTTTCAATTTCTATTTTGCCCTCTGGTTCTAATATATCAGGGCAGTTTTCCTTGATAATTTCTTGAAAGATGATGTCTAGGCTCTTTTTTTGATCATGGCTTTCAGATAGTCCAATAATTTTTAAATTCTCTCTCCTGGATCTATTTTCCAGGTCAGTTGTTTTTCCAATGAGATATTTCACATTGTTTCTAATTTTTCATTCTTTTGGATTTGTTTTACAGTGTCTTGATTTCTCATAAAGTCACTGCTTCCAATTGCTCTATTCTAATTTTTAAGGAAGTATTTTCTTCAGTAATCTTTTGGACTTCCTTTTCCATTTGGCCAATTTTTCTTTTTAGGGCATTTTTCTCCTCATTGGCTTTTTGGACCTCTTTTGCCATTTGGGTTAGGCTGTTTTTTAAGGTGTTATTTTCTTCAGTATTTTTTTGGGTCTCCTTTAGCAAGCTGTTGACTTGTTTTTCATGATTTTCTTGCATCACTCTCATTTCTCTTCCCAGTTTTTCCTCTACTTCCCTTACTTGCTTCTCAAAATCCCTTTTGAGCTCTTCCAAGGCCTGGGACTGATTCATATTTTTCTTGGAGGCTTTGGATGTAGGAGCTTTGATTTTGTTGTCTTCTTCTGGTTGTATATTTTGATCTTCTTTTTCACCAAAGTAAGATAATATAGTCTGACTCTTTTTGCACTGCTTGCTCATGATCCCAGCCAATTACTTGAGTTTTAAACTCTTTGTTAAGGTAAGAGTCTGCTTCCAATGTGGAGTGTACTGTCCCAAGCTTCAGGGGTTTGTATAGCTGTTTTCAGAGATACTTGTAGGGACCTGTAAATTTTCAGTTCTTCCAAGGTGGTATGATAAGGGGCGAGGTGTTTACTCCTTTCCTGGCCTGTGACCACAAGTATTCCTTTCTGTCACATAACTGTGAGGAGGGGTTTCTCTCCACAGTCACTACAAGCTCCACCGTGCCAGTGCTCCTCCTCACCCCAGCACCGCTGCCCAGAACTGTGACCCAGATCCACACACGGGCAAAGCAAGAGATTCCTGCCTCAGCACTGGCAAAGAGATCCCTGCAGTCCCTCTCTGATCAGCCACTGGATTCCCCTCAGTCTGTGGGCTGGAAGCTCGGGAAGCAGCTGCCCCCCCTCCCCAGGGCCAGGCTCTTGGGGAATGGAGCTGAGACCCCGCCTTCCTCTCTGACCACTGACAGAAACAGACTTTTCCCACTGACCTTCTAAGTTGTCTTTGGCATTCGTGGATTGAGGAGTCTGGAAACCTCCACAGCTGCCTGAGATTCAGTCCTCTGAGGCCTGTTCCAGGTTTGCTGTGGCCTGCGTGCCCACGCCTGGCGCGATACACCTTTCTGATCAATCATCCAGGTTGTCTTGGGCTGGAAATTTGTTTCACTCTGTCTTTTTGTGGGTTCTGCTGCTTCAGAATTTGTTTAGAGCCATTTTTTATGAGTATTTGGAGGGGTTTGGGGGAGAGCTCAAGCAAGTCACTGCTTTCACTCTGCCATCTTGGCTCTGCCCCCCACAATGATCTCTTTAACAGAATGTAAAGCAGTCTGTGCCACTTATTTGGCACTGAAGACCACACTGCTTTTTTATATTTAGAGCATTATTACTTTGTAGCATTATTTATCCTTAATGATGCTTTTAACTTTTTGTGGACATATAATCTGCTGTCCTAATTAGATTATAACCTCTTTGAGGACAAAAGGCATGTGTTCTTTTCCTTTGTATTATCCACATTGCCTAGCATAATACTATACAAGTAGTAGGTGCTAAAAAAAAATCATTGAATAAATGAATGAACAAATGAATGAATGAATTTTCCCTTAACATGGACTTCACTTATAACACTTGAGCCTTATTTTGAGGTGGTAAAGTGGTACTATGTGTGAATTCTTTAGGGATTGGTATGAACAGAATAGATTAGCTGTCTATTAAAGAGTTTTTTCAGCATTTCTTTTAACCACACTGGAAAGATCACTTAACCCCCAAAAGAGGCCCTTGCAAAAAAATAAAAATAAAAAGGGGGAGATCTACTAAACTGTGGTTCTCAAAAAACCATTAGACCTTTACTCTGCCAATGCCCATATCCCTTAATTACACCAAGGGACTATTTATTGATTGTCTTAAAGCCAATAATGGCCATAGAAAGTATTTATTCTTGAAAACCTATTAAAGCATTTTATGACATTAACTGATTTGGTTAGGCAGAGTGGCTATAGACTGCATATTTCTACCCATTCATCATCTCCTTTCTTCCTTCTACATAAACCTTTGCCAATATAGCAAATAAGCACAATATTTAATATGTCAGCTGAAGATGGAGGGGAAAAGAAGAAGAAAGACTTTTTCTACCCAAAGATATTTAAATTAATGAAGCAAAACTTAAGAAAACTTTGCTTTCTTTTCTTTGAACCTAATTATTAGTTCCCATCATGTCATTCTTAATAGTCTGGAGCAGCCCAAAGAGGACTTTAAAAAAAAAACCAAAAAAGAGACAAAAAAGCAAAACAAAACAAAACAAAAGTAATGACTGTGTTCTTTCTTGTCTTAATTGGTTCAGTTTGTGATAACTTCTTTAAATCAGAAACCTTTTGAAGACAGGATACTTGATGTTACATTCATTCCTCATTTCTTCAATAAACGTTAAGAATGAATGTTTACTATTCAAAAAGTGCTGAGATGTCTCATTAGAGAATTAGGCATCTGCCTGATTCTAATCATTGATTGCTTCATCTAAGATATTTGTTGACTTTGTTATCAAGGTGCTTGTGTAAGAGGTCGCACAAGAAGTCAATGTTTGTAGGTAGACAGGTTATGTTCTCATAGAATTTTAGAGCTGAAAGGCACCTTTGAGATCATAAAGTTCAGCCCCCCCCCCTTTTTTTACAGATATGAAAACTGAGACCTCAGAAAGTAAATTGAGTTGTTCAAGGTCATTCAATAAGTCAGGACAGAGGTAAGGTGATTAAAGAGATTTTAATTTCTCAACTCTCTAGCTGCCAATCAACTTGATAATAATATCTTACAAAGTGTTTTAAGATCATTTCAAGTACTACTGTTACTGTAGTATTGGGAAGCTAGGTGGTGCAGTGGATGTAGAGTGCTGAACCTAGAGTCAGGAAGACTCTTCCTGAGTTCCAATCTGGCCTCAGATATTTACTGGCTGTGACCTTGGGCAAATCACTTAACCCTGTTTGCCTCAGTTTCCTCTACAACTCATTCTGTAAAATGAGCTGGAGAAGGAAATGGCAAACCACTCCAGTATCTTTGCCAAGAAAACCCCAAAAGGGGTGGCAAAGAATCAGTCACAACTGAACAACAACTATTATTATCTTGACAATAATATCAAGGGAGTCTTGCTTTATTAAGTTAACAGGTTTTTAGGAGTGACCAACTCTAAATCTCTAGTTTTAGTAATTTACTGGAATAATGAAGGGATAAAATGCACCATGGTGCAGTAAGGCAAGGAGTTCAGTAAAGAAAGTTGTCATTTATTGGAAAACAGACATTGTTATGCCTCATGTGTTCAGTCATATCCCCTTTCAATATCCCAGGGAAATGGAAATGCTTATAGCATCGAAGTACAGGCTTGTTGCATTTAAAGTGACATTTTTATTTAGTAGGAAAGCTTGTCTTGGTTGTTTGGCCCTTAAGGGAAATTTTAATTAAACTGTTAAATGTCAAACACCAGGAAGAAGAATGACATCCCCTGCTATGTCTCCCTAAAGGTGCTCTAATGAATCAAGAGTGTTAGTAACTGAGAAGTCAGCTGGTGATAGGTCACTTGAGGTAAACCTGGGGTGATAGAAAGAACCCATTCTGGTTCTACTTGTCAGACTGGCCACTTAGAGAGCAAGCCATGCCTGAGCTTGACACGGTAAAGGGCAGGAAGTAATTATGGATGTGCTCCAGCTGCTGGGGCAAAATAGCAGAGCCCATAGTTTACCAAGGGTGGAGGAGATTGGGCCTCAAGGCCCCATATAGCCACACTTGAGGACCTAGAAGGCCACATGAGGCCTTGAGGCCACAGGTTCCCCACCCATAGAACTAAACAGTAATGCTCAAGTCAGGGAGTCTGGGGAGGAAGAACCTTGTGGGTTTCACAGTCTTTGACCAAGAAACACTTCTTAAGTTCTTTATTGTAAAGTGTTTCATGAGCCCCTCTATCCAATTGTCTTTTTTACAACAAGGCTAGGAGGATGGGGAAAGGGCTGTAGTATACAGGACACTCATTTAATGCGTTCTACTGTTGATGCTGTGCTCTCCCAGTCTTACCCATAACTGCCCTGACCAAAAAAAATATATATATTACCCATATGTTAGTAACAAAATGACTATTTTTAAGCATGAGGAAAAATAGTTCACTGATTCTTACATCCAGAAAATCTCATTCTCTTTCAAGTGCATGGGTTTTCTGCATAAAATCCGATCTTTCTTCCTAATGAGGGGCATAGCCTTTCATAGCATTAATGGCCACTTTCATCAAAAGTGCTAATGAGGAGCGGTGAAGAATACATTCATAAGTTTTTAAAAGTCTACCTGTTGTGTAGGAATAGGAATCGGTCCTGCTATTTCAATGCAGGTTGGGGACTGTGCAACTTGCAGTTTTGAAGAGTTGCCTAAACTATTGAGTGACTTGCCCAAAGTCAGTATATGCCAAAGGTATCATCTGAACTCTGGTCTTCTATGGTACAGAATCTTTTACACAAAAGTAGTCTTTAAGGAACCAAGAGCTGATACTTGGAGAGTACTTTCAAAGTTTGCAAAACACCTTCCTTACATCCTCTCATTGGATATATACAACAACCACCAACTGAAACTAAGGTGAGATTAAATAACTTTCTTAGGTTCACAGAATTGTCGATTGTTACAGACAAGTGTTAAACTCAGACAGCTTTTGACTTCAAGTCAACTACTCCTTTTACTCTCTACGTTGCCTTTAAAAAGAGTCACACAATACTTACAGTACAGCAATTTTAAGCAGAACCAAAAACAACTGCTCGTGGATTCTATCCCTTTGTTTCAGTTCCTGAAATAGAGTGAGGGAGATTTCTTCCACCCAACTCAGTTGATGGTTGATTTGGTCCTAGGACATAATCACAGATGATGATGTGTTAATAAATTAACAAGGTGAAAACAGCCTGTTACACTTTGTGAATCTCTTTCTCCTCCCCTCCTCTTTCTCCTCCTCATCCTCCTCTTTCTTCTTCTTCTTCTTCTTCTCCCTCTCTCTCTCTCTCTCTCTCTCTCTCTCTCTCTCTCTCTCTCTCTCTCTCTCTCTCTTCCTCCTCCCCACCCCCATTGAATCAGAAGGAGAAACTTGATTAGTTGAATTTTTAAAAGGCCACAGCCCTTAAGATTTAAATAGGAAAACCATGGAAACAGGTGGTAATTTAGAATTTAGGTGAGTTAAATCAGAAGCCAGAAATTAGGGAAGAGGGAGGATTTTTTCCTCTCCACTGTCATTGACCATGACACCCAGCAATAGCACCACAAAAGTAGAAGACATAGCAGGAGAATCAGTTCAAAAAAGAGTTAAGTATAATTGAGGGAACAAAGACATGAATTCTAGAAAACAGGCAATAACTCAGTTTAGCAAAGAGTCAGCTGTGGACTCAAGAAAGAATCAGCCCTAAAAATTGATGATTGAGCTACAAAGAGGACTCCATTAGGATGAGCAGGGGTACTGAGGCCCCGGATTCTCAGAGCTGTGAGTTGCCTAGGCTACATATGTACGTTCTTTGTGTGTATGTCTCACAATCATTGTACTCTAAATTTGTAACCACTCCTGTGGATAATGAATATTAATGGAAAGGTATGCACCAAATAGATGGGGAAAATGTTTTGTAGAGACTGTTCTTACTATTAAGGGGAAGCACATTGGTGAGGGCTCATGAAATATAGTTTTAGGAGTAGCCACCTACTAGGTATTCTAGAGCCTAGCAATGATAACTGTCCATTAGGAACCCAGCCCGCTTTTGTAAGTAAAGGTGAGAGAGAGTCTTTCAAAGGAGGTGTTAAAACAGTTAATTGCAAGACACTTTGAGAAACTGTTGCTATATATTTTTACTCAACTTATTTATAGAAACTTGATTTTTCATTGTTTATGAAAATAAATGATAGAGACTTCTTGTTAAGACAAAAACATGAAAGGTCATAGAGAAGTCTAGCTCTGCACGTGTACTCCTGCAAATATATGAAAAAGGCTCCAGAAAGACCAGTGATAAAAGAAAATCAGAAACAGCTTACTGAATATTCTTTTGGTCTCAGAATCATACCATTTCCCTTGCTTTTCATCTAGATAGTGGATTTGGAGACTAGTGATGCTAAAAGAAGAAGAAAAGTAGCAATCATTAAAATTATTAATAGAGAGAGGTGAAGCAAGTTCACAAGGGCACACAGACAAGGATGTGTTAGAATTGCCATGTTAAATTTGAATACACACACACAATTCAAGCTGTGTATGGTGAAGATTCATGTATTCATAATCATTTAGAATTCTGCCTCAGACATTTATTGGCTTTGTGTCTGTAAGCAGGTCACTTAACTTTTCTGTGTTTCAGCTTCCTTGTCCGTATGGGGATAATAACAACACCTATTTTACATGGTTGTTGTGAGGGTCAAATGAGATAACATATAAACTGCTTTGAAAACCTTAAAGTGCTAAAAAAAATGCTAGATATTATTATTATTATTATTATTATTAGCTGTTTCCTATCCTTTACTTATGGAGCTTTTGAGGGTCTTCTCTTTTACCCAGGTATTGAAATTTTCATTCAGTCCTATTAAATTATATATGGTTAGATTTAATTCTGAACTCCAAAATTTTGTTTTATTTTGTTTTTTGGACCTTGACAGCCATGCTCTGTCTTGGCTATCCCTTTCAGCTTCATGTGATCTAAAAATGTCAAAAACAAACCACCTTTCTATCAAAGTCTTTGATAAAAAATATCAGCCCAAGAAGAGAATCCTGGAGTATTCTAAAACCCTCCATCCAAATTGACTTCAGCCCATTTGATTCTTCGACCCTGGTCCTGGTATTTAAACCAGGTCCACATTTCCTTAATGATACCACATTCTAGCCCTCATCTCTCTACAGATGATGAATGAACCCATGAATCAACTCATGCCAACATGAAATTATATCTAAAACATACCTTAAGTGCATTTGTATTCATATTGGCATCATGCATCATGGCATGGATGAGAGGGCACTGCACTTCAAATTCTACCTCAGACACCTGCTGCCTGTGTGGCCTTAGCAAGGCACTTAAATATGGGGTACCTCTGTTTCCTTATCTGTAAAATTAGAAGGGTAGACTTGAAGATGAATAAGATCCCTACCAGTTCTACATCCATGATCCTGTGTCCTACTTCTCCTGGGAGATTGTGAGTTAATGTGGTCATTGTTTAGATAGTTCTTGGCTTTCTATGACTCAATGATCTTTCTGCACCAATATACTATCTGTTTCATCTCTAGCTCCTCAGACCCACTGGCCAATAGTCTCAAAATGGTCAACCTGGGCCATCTACCATTCTCAGACACTATGAATAATCCTTGAACTAGAGGGTACATTAGGCAGAAAGGATGTATCTCTGGGTTTAGCTTTCAACAACTCCACCCGCTGTGTGGATGACAGTCCTCCTTAAGTGGAGGTAGAGTCAATAGATTTTATGGCCCATAACAGCACACAGCATACTCTTTAACCTAAACAGTAGCTTCTAAGTTGTTATCAAGCTCAGACAGTCTCAACACTGGTGAGGAGGTATGTCTCCTCAGAGTCCACTTGGCCAGTCAGCCATCATTCCTTGGCTCCGGCTCACCGGGGAGTCCAAATAACTCCCCTATGAGCAATGGATGGTTGAATTGCATCCAGTGATTCATTTTATAGGGATCCCACCGCTCTCTAGTGGGAACACAAGGACATATATTATACTGGACAACCAGTATAACCAGAAATCGTCTAATCTCCCAAATACTTTAAATCAAATGGCTTTTTTTAAATTTAGTTTTTATTTAATTTTTTTCTTAATTACATGTAAACAAAAAATTTTACCATATGTTTTTTTCAAAATTTTGAGTTCTAAATTCTCTTCCTTCCTCCCTCTCCCCCCTCCTGGAAAAGGCAAACATTTTTATATAAATTATACATGTGTAGTCATGCAAAACACATTTCCATAGTAGCCATGTTATAAAGGAGAACACAGAAAAAAAAATGAGAATAATAAAGTTTCAAAAATATGTTGATAAATTGATAAATGGTCAAAGGATATGAACAGGCAGTTTTCCAAAGAAGAAATTAAAATTTATAGTCATATTAAATTGTTTTAAATCATTGTTGATTAGAGAAATGCAGATTAAAACAATCTTGAGATATCATTTTATACCTATTAGAATGGCTAAAATGATTGGATGGAAAAGTGACAAATGTTGGAGAGACTATGGAAAAATTGGGACCCCAATTCACTGTTGGTGGAACTGTGAAATGATTCAACCATTTTGGAGAGCAATCTGGAATTATATCCAAAGAGTTATTAATCTGTCTATACCCTTTGACCCAGCAATACTACTACTTGGTCTATTTCCCAAGATGATTAAGGATAAAAGAAAAGAACCTCTTTGTTCTAGAAGGTTTATAGCAGCTCTCTTTGTGGTGACAAAGAACTGAAAGTGGCAGGGATGCCCATCAATTGGGGAATGGCTAAATGAACTGTAGTATATGATTGTGATGGAATACTACTGTGCTATAAGAAATGACGACCTAGATTATTTTAGAAAAATATGGAAAATCTTGAATGAAATAATGAAGAGTGAAATGAGCAGAACCAATAGAACATCATATACAATAACAGGAATACTGTTTTTAAAATGACTTTCAGAGATTAAGTTATTTTGTCTATTATAAATACCCAAATTAACTATAAAGGACATACGAAGAAAGAAACTATCTGCATCCAGAGAAAGAACTGATAGTAATATGTATAGAATAATTTTACATATTACATATGTGTGTGTGTGTATACATGCATACACACACATACACCTATTTATGTCTAATGGTGGGCATCTCTAGGGTGGGCAGTGGGAGAAAAAAGAAAAAAAGAAATTTACATGATAATTTCATTGTACTTTTGAAAGGAATAGCAAGTTGTGCATAATAGATTTTCAGTTTCATGTGCAGTCATCTTTTTTATTGTACTATGTTAGAGAAATGCTTGTTTTATTTCATAAATTTAAAATATAGTGGAAAAATAAATAACTATAAAACTCCTTTTACAGAAATAAAGGAGATAAATAATTGTAGCAATTTTTTAAAAGTACGTTTCAATCTGTATTCATATGCCATCAGTTCTTTCTCTGGAGCTGGATGCCATTTTTCATCATAAGTCCTTCAGAGTTCTCTTAGATCATTGTATTGCTGAGAATAGCTAAGCCATTCACAACTGATTATCATATGATATTGCTGTTATTGTGTACAATGTTCTCCTGGTTCTGCTCATTTCATCATTTCCATCATTTGCATCAGTTCATGTATGTCTCCCCAGGTTTTTCTGAAATCATCCTGCTTTTCATTTTTTATAGCCCAATAGTATTCCATCACAATGATACACCTCAACTTGTTCAGCATTCCCCAGTTGATAGGCATCCCCTCACTTTCTAATTCTTGGCCACCACAAAAAGATCTGCTATAAATGTTTTTGTACGTAGAGGTCCTTTTCCTTTGATCTCTTTTGGGTATAGACCTAGTAGTGGTATTACTGGGTCAAAGGGTATACACAGTATGCCCTTTGAGCATAGTTTATGGAAAAGCTTCCCATCAGCTCATTAGCTTGTTTGGGCTGTCTCACGTGAAGCTTTCTCAGCAAGATTCTATCACCTTGCTAAAGTCCTTGAAAGAAAGCTTGAATATTTTACCTTCATTTGTTTCTGTTGGAGTTGTTTTGAAGTGAAATTTTGGCTGGTAGGTAGGCTTCCTTCTGCCAGTGCCTCAGTCAGTAGATGTCTTCACCATCATCTGAAACTTGGAAGCCCAATTCACTAGATAAGAATATTTCTTACCCAAACATCAGT